CATGCTGGTGATGGAGGAGTTTCATTGCAATGGTATTTTGATGCAAATATGAATTGATGTTAGGAATGCTAGACCGATAAGCTTGGTGAGTTGTTAATATCATTGCTAAGGTGCTGTAAAAGCACTTGGAAGTTTAATATCAAGTTCGTAGAATGCCTTTGTCAGGGGTAGGTGGATACTGGAAGTTGTCTCTTTGGGCAACAAATTGATTGATTCCAGGTTGAAAGAGTGGTGGAATGAGTCTCTTGTAAGCTTCATGTGGAAAAATTGTAATTCAGTTCTATGTCTGTACTTGTATTTCTGTGATTGAGAATGGGGAACCCTTTAGTCCCTGGTAGGTCTGGGGGTTCACGACAAGCTAGTCCTTCATCTCCTTAGCTTTTAATGTTAGTTATGGAAACTCTGAGCTGCATTTTATACCTTTTAACCAAACTGCATGCTGCAGAAAATATGACTTTTATACCTTGTGAAGCTGAGTTCACCGGGAAGGTTCTACGATGTTTTGAAACTATGTCTCGTTTGAATATCATGTTGTAAAGCGTGGTTAATTGCTTTAGGTGACTGTACTGAGAGGGTGGCTGATATTTTGTTGTAAAGTATGTCTTGGATTTGAAAAAAAAAAAAAAATCTGGGAAATTGCCATAGCAAAATTTGCCTGGACTCTTGGTGTGGGAATGTTGATCGGAAGAATGTATTTCCTCAACTTCATCTGATGTCATTCAACAAGTTGGCTTCTGTTTGGGAGGTGTTTGTTGTTTCTGGCTAAAATATAACTCAAAATGTGGTGTTTAGAAAAGCTTCACAGAATTGATAGTTGTTGGAATTGCTTGGTAAATTGTATTATTTCCTCAGCTGGTGGTGCAGGTCACAAAAGGAACAAGAGAAGGCAAATACAATCTCGATCTACTGGAATAACTCTCAAGTAAAAATATTCAATGACAAATTTAAAAGCTGAATAGCAAGTGATGCAGAATCAAAGAGAGAAAAGCAAGAAGAAGGAGAAGAGAAGAAGCCAAGAAGAAAGAGAGGAGGAGAAAATGTGGTTAAACCAATTTCAATATTAATTAATCATCCAACTGAAGTCAGATACAATGAAAATATAATAAATAGCAGAAAATAACCTAATTTTAAGGGGTTGGGTCAACCCGCTTAAACAAGTCCAACAATACGAAACACAAATAATAAAGTCCAATAACA